CAGGGGCTGCCCGCCGAGCTCCCCCGCCGAGCTGAGTTTGGGCTGGCTGCTCGGGGAACCCCTCACCCTGCCCCCCCTGCGACCAGGGCTTTTTAACACGGTGCTTCCCACTCGTTAATCAGCGGTCACCTCCGGGCTGGAGGAAATCCGCAGGGGAAGCTGCAGGTGATGCTGCAGCCACGTCCTGGAGAGACTTTTCTGCCTGAGGAGTGAAAATGATTTTTAAGTCTAAGGAAGGCAAAGAAGGAAGCCATGGAGCAACATGGCCAGACAAACACGCTGGGAGCAGGAACACGGCTCTTTGGGGCAGCCCTTGCGGCAGGGGGGGCCGCTGAGCCTTCCACGCCTGCAGGGAGTCTTGAGTGACAGTGCTGGTGTTTGGTTTAATTAAAATGACCTTCCTCGTTACTCTAGGAACTTAATTACGACTCTGCGTACACTTCAGGGCTTTGGCTAAGGAAGATGCCTGAGACCTGGATACAGAACTGGGATGCGGCAGGACGCAGGCCGCAAGTGGGGCAGGACGGGAGGCGGAAGCAGCCCGGCAGAGGGCACGGCAGCCCTGCACAGGGCCTGCAGCATGGAGATGCTGCTTCAGTTCGGTTTCTCCATGTGTCTCCTCTCCCCATCCCGCGTGTTTTAGCTGAATCCTGCAGCTGAGAGCTGGAGGGGGCGCAGGGTGCTTGGTCAAAATCCCTGCGTCAGGAAAGACATGAGGTTTTTCTTGGTTTAGCTCTGCAAAGCCAAGGCTCATCTGCAACGCTCTGGCCATTGCTGTCCGTGGCTAAATCTGCGGAGAGAAAGCAAAAGTGCTAAACCCACCAGACAATATCCTACAAAGGAAATGAGGAAGGATGTTTTTTTGGGGAAGGGATCTTCCCTGCCCGCATGGCAGACGTGGCACACGTGAGGCTTGTACAGGCACTGTGCTGGGAGCAGGGACAGTGCTGAGCCTTCTCTCCTGCCCTGGGACACCCCACCCCGAGCGCAGGCATGGACCCAACCCCGGGGGCTGCTGCAACATCCATGTCCCCTGCCCTGCTGACGTTTCCTCCACTGTGCGGTATAACCCACCGCAGAAATCTTAGGGTTCAGATAAAAATAAGAGAAATCTTCTAATGAATTGCGTTTGCTATTTTAAACAAGCTCCTCTGTGCCTCCTGATAACACCGCTTCCTTATCCTCTCCAGGACAGCATAAGGACAGTGATTTTAATGCTGTTAAACGATTTTAAAGTGTGTGAGTGGCTTTGTATGTGCTGGAGAAGTACCTGGCTGTGACAGCAGTGTCAGTGCGACCGCAGTGCCCACCCAATGCCCGCTGCAGCCCAAAGGTTTTGTCCCAGGTGTGTGAGGACAGTCAAATGTGGAGTTGCAGGATCTGATCCTTTTTTACATGGTGGTTGGTACAAAGGCTGTTGTGATCTCTAAAACATCAATAACCAAATAGATAATGAAGTTAGGATTTCATTAAATTAATGCCACCAGGCTGAGAATCTTTGGGGGTGTCTTGTCACACTTTACATGAAATGCACTTTTTTTTATTATTTTAATTTTATCTCTCTCACACATATGCCAAAAATTTACATTTTTTTTCCTAAAGGAAAATAAAACAATAGCTGGATGTGCAAGCGGCACTATGTCATAACTCCTGGCATGTCTTTGCAGTGCGGTTTTACATTGGTTACATTTCTCAAGCCCTGTAATTTATGCAGCTGATGGTTAACTTCATGACTTAATTCCTTACTATGCCTTTGAGCTTCGTGCTCAGCACATTGATGTGTAATGACTCAAAATGATGGCATTTGGTGCATGTAAGCCCAGAATCCTCTTACTGGCCATTTAAATACCTGTGGATTACCTGGGTCCCAGCTCTGATGTGATAACGAGCACAGAGAATTTCAGAACCTGGGCTCATTAATTGTGCATTACCCAAAGTCTCTACCTTTAGAGCGGGTTCAGTGTAAAAGCATTTCAGGGTGAAAATTCGCGTACCTGGATGCTGAAGCAGTGCATTTCAAATTAGTGTGTGTATAGGATTTTCGTGGCGAGGTTTTGGTAGCCTGGGGGCTACATGGGCGGCTTCTGCGAGAAGCTGCCAGAAGCTTCCCCCGTGTCTGACAGAGCCAACCTCAGTCGGCTCCAAGGTAGCCCCGGCACTGGCCAAGGGCGAGCCCATCGGCGACGGGGGCAGTGCCTCTGGGATAACATATTTAAGAAAGGGGAAAAATCTCATGTTGTGGAACAGCAGAAAGGAGGGAGAGGATGTGAGCGGAGCAGCCCTGCAGCTGCCCAGGCCAGTGCAGGAGGGGAGGAGGTGCTCCAGGCGCCGGGGCAGAGATTCCCCTGCAACATGTGATGAAGACCACGGTAAGGTCTTCAGAGAGCCAGCAGCGTGCCCTTGTTGCCAAGAAGGCCAATGGCATCCTGGGGCGCATCAAAAGGAGCATGGCCAGCAGGGCGAGGGAGGTTATCCTCCCCCTCTGCTCTGGCCCAGCGACAGGACAAGGGGCAATGGGCACAAACTGAAGCAGGAGAGGTTCCAGTTGAATGTGAGGAAGAACTTCTTGACTTGAAGGGTGACCGAGCCCTGGCAGAGGCTGCCCAGGGGGGCTGTGGAGCCTCCATCTCTGGAGATATTCAACCCCTGCCTGGACGATGTGCTGTGCACCCTGCTCTGGGTGAGGCGACTTGAGCAGGGGGGTTGGACTGGGTGATCTCCGGAGGGCCCTTCCAACTGCTGCCATCCTGGGATTCTGGGATTCTGTGAGTTTTCCCCTGCAGCCCAGGGAGCCCACAGGGGAGCAGATCTCCACCTGCAGCCCAGGGAGGACCCCACGCTGGAGCAGGGGGTGCCCAAAGGAAGCTGTGACCCTGTGGGAAGCCCGTGCTGGAGCAGGCTCCTGGCAGGACATGTGGACCCATGGGGAGAGGAGCCCAGGCTGGGGCAGGTTTGCTGGCAGGG